ATGTTGTAAAAATCGAGTACTCACCCGACCTCCCCAAGCGTACCCTAAGGGGAACGAGGTCCGACCTCGCGTACCAACCCCGACGGAGGAGCCCGGTGGCTTAGTCCAGGAGGACTAGGCTCATGCGGGTAACATACCCTAAGGGGGAACGAGGTCCAACCTCGCGTACCAACCCCGACGGGAGAGTCCAATGGCTTAGTCCGGCAGGACTTGGCTCATGCGAGTAACATACCCTAAGGGGCACGAGGTCCGACCTCGCGTACTAACCCTGACGGAGGAGCCCGGTGGCTTAGTCCAGGAGGACTAGGCTCATGCGGGTAACATACCCTAAGGGGGCACGAGGTCCAACCCCGACGGAAGAGCTCGGTGGCTTAGTCCGGCAGGACTCGGCCCAAGCGGCTTGCACACCCTAAGGGGGCACGAGGTCCGACCTCGCGTACCAACCCCGACGGGAGAGTCCGATGGCTTAGTCCGGCAGGACTTGGCTCATGCGGGTAACGTACCCTAAGGGGGCACGAGGTCCGACCTCGCGTACCAACCCCGACGGAAGAGCTCGGTGGCTTAGTCCGGCAAGACTCGGCCCAAGCAGCTTGCGTACCCTAAGGAGGCACGAGGTCCGACTTCGCGTACCAACCCCGACGGGAGAGTCCGATGGCTTAGTCCAGCAGGACTTGGCTCATGCGGGAAACATACCCTAAGGGGGCACGAGGTCCAACCTCGCGTACCAACTCCGACGGAAGAACTCGGTGGCTCAGTCCGGCAGGACTCGGCCCAAGCGGCTTGCGCACCCTAAGGGGATACCAACCCCGATGGGAGAGTCCAATGGCTTAGTCCGGCAGGACTCGGCCCAAGCGGCTTGCACACCCTAAGGGGGCACGAGGTCCGACCTCGCGTACCAACCCCGACGGGAGAGTCCGATGGCTTAGTCCGGCAGGACTTGGCTCATGCGGGTAACGTACCCTAAGGGGGCACGAGGTCCGACCTCGCGTACCAACCCCGACGGAGGAGCCCGGTGGCTTAGTCCAAGAGGACTAGGCTCAAGCGGTTAACATAAGGCATTGTGCTAAAAAAAAAATAAAATTGAATCAATAAGGGAGAGCTGATTGTCCATTCAAAACGCCAAGTCAATACAATGTGCCCACCTCCCGGAAGCAAGAGGATAAGGTGTGCCCACCTCCCAGAAGCAAGAGCATAGAGTATGCCCACCTCCTGGAGGCAAGAGCGTAAGGTGTGCCCACCTCTCGGAAGCAAGAGCATAAGATGTGCCCAACTCCGGGAGGAGAATCATGCTTATCGAAGCAAGGTACAAAAGGACACACCTCCCGGAGGGGGCCATAAGATTTGCCCACCTCCCGGAGGGGAGACATAAAATATGCCCACCTCCCGGAGGGGAGTCATAAAATGTGCCCACCTCCAGGAGGGGAGACATAAAATGTGCCGACCTCCCGGAGGAGAGACACAAATGTGCCTACCTCCGAGAGGAGAGGCATGTTAGGAAAAGTACAAAGTTGTGGAGCAGAAGACGGAACCCATATGATAAAGAAGGGACGATGCTAATCAAGCCGCTATCAAGTCTAATCCTTGAGGTTGGGGTCGGCCACGTTGGGGTCGGTCACGTTGGGGTCGGCCACGTTGGGGGGTCGGCCACGTTGGGGTCGGTCACGTTGGGGTCGGCCACGTTGGGGTCGGCCACGTTGAGGGGTCGGTCACGTTGGGGTCGACCATGTTGGGGTCGGCCACGTTGAGGGGTCGGCCACGTTGAGGGGTCGGCCACGTTGAGGGGTCGGCCACGTTGGGGTCGGTCACGTTGGGGTCGGCCGTGTTGGGGTCGGCCGTGTGGGGCTCGGACCCATGGAGTGCGACTCGTGTTTACTCTCCTTCATTAACGAACCTTGGCCCAAGACGCCTCGACACAAGGCACCTCGGCCCAAGAGGGGCTACCTCATGAGCTCACCCAAGAAGAGGACGACTACCTCATGAGCTCGCCCAAAAGTGAACTCAGAAATCAAAGTCTCATACACGATTCCAGGGAGTCCAAGACTTGTTAGTGTTATTGCGGAAGAGAAGAAGTCCCGATTGCGATGGGATCACACCAAAGTCGGTCAAAGAGGAATGCGAAAGAGAAGAAGTCTCGCTCATGATGGATATATTATGATTTGAGCAAACCGACCCGGGAAAGCGGAACAAGGAAGTATGGAGTAGACCCGGGGCACAGTGGTTGGGCCCCGTGCTCGGCCCAAGGAGCCTCGGTCATGGTGAGCTCGGCCACAGGAGGTCGGCTAATTATCAACTCGGGACAATCGCGCAGGAGTCGGCTCGCAAGGTGTCTACTCTCTATCGTTGTCGACTTATCACAACAAAGAGAGTGGGGGACTCGTGATGGATATATTGGACCCGGATCGAACCGACCCGGAGAGACGGACCCGAGAAGCCCCTCGGCCCAGTCAATTGGGCTGTGGCCGAGTCGGCCCAAGGCATCTCGGCCTTGGGCCGAGTCGGCCACAGATGGGTTCGGTGCACCCGAGCCCACCACCATGGACTCGGCCACTGCCGAGCCGGTTCATGGTGGACTCGGCTAGGCCGAGCTCGGCACGTGCCCAGCTCGGCCGTGCCGAGTCAGTCCGCCTTGGACCCGGTCCCGGAGGGGACGCGGTCAACGCGGACCGATCCAACTAACCCCGATCCTAGGGCTGCGGTTGCGGGGTTTAAGCTGATATAAAAAGCCTCCCTCTTGTCCTAAACAGGGACACGACATACAACACAATAGATTCCTGAATTGCTATCTTCTAGCTTTATTGTCCTAATCAAGCCTTGTAATAGCTTATTAGCGATAATTAATACAATATACGGTCCCGGCGACCTACGGTCCCTGCGACCTTATTATATCTCTGTGTCGTATTATTTATTTCGTACGTATACTTATCCGGGTTTAATAATTCGGGCTACCCCGGGGAATTAAATCCATCACTAAGAATTTTCCTTTCTTAATTATATTTTGATAGATTTTAGTGTATGTTTCGTACATGAGTCTACACATTAGAAATGAGAATAAAAATCATAGTTAGTGTTTGGTTGACAACTTTATAAAACACAAGTATGGATTTGATTACCCCTATTATTAAAAATCACATTCCCTACTTATAACCGGTAACATTCCGATTAGATTAGTAATAAGAAAGTAGAAAGTGTAACTTGTTTGGGTGGTGTAGTTGGTTATCACGCTAGTCTCACACATTAGAGGTCCCAAGTCAAACCTGGGCTCAGACATGTTAATTTACTTCTAAGCTCTTCGTTTTTTTACAATGAAATTACTGTTTGGTTGACAACTTTTTAAAACACACCTCTGGATTTAATTACTTCTCGAATTAAAAATTGTATCATTCTAATTTAGTTAATAAAAAGTAAATAAAAAATGTAGTTGTCTGGGTGGTGTAGTTGGTTATCACGCAAATCTAACACATTAGTGGTCCCTAGTGCAAACCTGGGCTCAAACATGTTATTTTGCTTTCCACCTGTGTTTTTACCAGGAGATGTTTTGAAATTATATTGGTAAGTAATTTCCTTTCTTAATTATACTTTGATGGATTTTAGTGTATGTTTCGTACATCAGTTTACACATTAGAAATGAGAATAAAAATCATAGTTAGTGCTTGGTTGACAACTTTATAAAACACAAGTATGGATTTGATTACCCCTTCAATTAAAAATCATATTGCCTAATTATAAACGGTAACATTTCGGTCAGATTTCTAATAAGAAAGTAGAAAATGTAGCTTGTCTGTGTGGTCTAGTTGGTTATCACACTAGTCTCATAGACTGGTGGTCCCCAATTTAAACCTGGGCTCAGACATGTAAATTTGCTTCTAAGCTCAATTTTCTTCGTTTTTTTACAAAGAAATTAGTGATTGGTTGACAACTTTTTAAAGCACACCTCTAGATTTAATTACTTCTCGAATTAAAAATCGTATCATTCTAATTTAGTTAGTAAAAAGAAAATAAAAAATGTAGTTGTCTGGATGGTTGAAAATAAAAAATGTAGTTGTCTGGGTGGTGTAGTTGGTTATCATGCAAATCTAACACATTAGTGGTCCCTAGTGCAAACCTGGGCTCAAACATGTTATTTTGCTTTCCACCTGTGTTTTTACCAGGAGATGTTTTGAAATTATATTGGTAAGTATTTTCCTTTCTTAATTATACTTTGATGGATTTTGGTGTATGTTTCGTACATGAGTTTACACATTAGAAATGAGAATAAAAATCATTGTTAGTGCTTGGTTGACAACTTTATAAAACACAAGTATGGATTTGATTACCCCTACAATTAAAAATCAAATTCCTTAATTATAAACGGTAACATTTCGATTAGATTTCTAATAAGAAAGTAGAAAATGTAGCTTGTCTCTGTGGTGTAGTTGGTTATCACACTAGTCTCATAGACTGGAGGTCCCCAATTCAAACTTGGGGTCAGACATGTAAATTTGCTTCTAAGCTCTTCGTTTTTGTACAAGGAAATTAGTGTTTAGTTGACAACTTTTTAAAACACACCTCTGGATTTAATTACTTCTCGAATTAAAAATCTCATTCCATCATTAAAAATCTTATCATTCTAATTTAGTTAGTAAAAAGAAAATAAAAAATGTAGTTGTCTGGGTGGTGTTGTTGGTTATCACGCAAATCTAACACATTAGTGGTCCCTAGTGCAAACCTGAGCTCAAACATGTTATTTTGCTTTCCACCTGTGTTTTTACCAGGAGATGTTTTGAAATTATATTGTTAAGTATTTTCCTTTCTTAATTATACTTTGATGGATTTTAGTGTATGTTTCGTACATTAGTTTACACATTAGAAATGAGAATAAAAATCATAGTTAGTGCTTGGTTGACAACTTTATAAAACACAAGTATGGATTTGATTACCCCTTCAATTAAAAATCATATTGCCTAATTATAAACGGTAACATTTCGATCAGATTTCTAATAAGAAAGCAAAAAATGTAGCTTGTCTGTGTGGTCTAGTTGGTTATGACACTAGTCTCATAGACTGGTGGTCCCCAATTCAAACCTGGGCTCAGACATGTAAATTTGCTTCTAAGCTCTTCGCTTTTTTACAATGAAATTAGTGATTGGTTGACAACTTTTTAAAGCACACCTCTGGATTTAATTACTTCTTGAATTAAAAATCGTATCATTCTAATTTAGTTAGTAAAAAGAAAATAAAAAATGTAGTTGTCTGGATGGTTGAAAATAAAAAATGTAGTTGTCTGGGTGGTGTAGTTGGTTATCACGCAAATCTAACACATTAGTGGTCCCTAGTGCAAACCTGGGCTCAAACATGTTATTTTGCTTTCAACCTGTGTTTTTACCAGGAGATGTTTTGAAATTATATTGGTAAGTATTTTCCTTTCTTAATTATACTTTGATGGATTTTGGTGTATGTTTCGTACATGAGTTTACACATTAGAAATGAGAATAAAAATCATTGTTAGTGCTTGGTTGACAACTTTATAAAACACAAGTATGGATTTGATTACCCCTACAATTAAAAATCAAATTCCTTAATTATAAACGGTAACATTTCGATCAGATTTCTAATAAGAAAGTAGAAAATGTAGCTTGTCTGTGTGGTCTAGTTGGTTATGACACTAGTCTCATAGACTGGTGGTCCCCAATTCAAACCTGGGCCCAGACATGTAAATTTGCTTCTAAGCTCTTCGCTTTTTTACAATGAAATTAGTGATTGGTTGACAACTTTTTAAAGCACACCTCTGGATTTAATTACTTCTCGAATTAAAAATCGTATCATTCTAATTTAGTTAGTAAAAAGAAAATAAAAAATGTAGTTGTCTGGATGGTTGAAAATAAAAAATGTAGTTGTCTGGGTGGTGTAGTTGGTTATCACGCAAATCTAACACATTAGTGGTCCCTAGTGCAAACCTGGGCTCAAACATGTTATTTTGCTTTCCACCTGTGTTTTTACCAGGAGATGTTTTGAAATTATATTGGTAAGTATTTTCCTTTCTTAATTATACTTTGATAGATTTTAGTGTATGTGTCGAACATCAGTTTACACATTAGAAATGAGAATAAAAATCATTGTTAGTGTTTGGTTGACAACTTTATAAAGCACAAGTATGGATTTGATTACCCCTAAAATTCAAAATCAAATTCCCTAATTATAAACGGTAATATTTCAATTAGATTTCTAATAAGAAAGTAGAAAATGTATCTTGTCTGTGTGGTGTAGTTGGTTATCACACTAGTCTCATAGACTGGAGGTCCCCAATTCAAACCAGGGCTCAGACATGTAAATTTGCTTCTAAGCTCTTTGTTTTTTTACAAGGAAATTAGTGTTTAGTTGACAACTTTTTAAAACACACCTCTGGATTTAATTACTTCTCGAATTAAAAATCTCATTCCATCATTAAAAATCGTATCATTCTAATTTAGTTAGTAAAAAGAAAATAAAAAATGTAGTTGTCTGGGTGGTGTTGTTGGTTATCACGCAAATCTAACACATTAGTGGTCCCTAGTGCAAACCTGGGCTCAAACATGTTATTTTGCTTTTCACCTGTGTTTTTACCAGGAGATGTTTTGAAATTATATTGGTAAGTATTTTCCTTTCTTAATTATACTTTGATGGATTTTAGTGTATGTTTCGTACATCAGTTTACACATTAGAAATGAGAATAAAAATCATAGTTAGTGCTTGGTTGACAACTTTATAAAACACAAGTATGGATTTGATTACCCCTTCAATTAAAAATCATATTTCCTAATTATACACGGTTACATTTCGATTAGATTTCTAATAAGAAAGTAGAAAATGTAGCTTGTCTGTGTGGTGTAGTTGGTTATCACACTAGTCTCATAGACTGGTGGTCCCCAATTCAAACCTGGGCTCAGACATGTAAATTTGTTTCTAAGCTCTTCGTTTTTTTTACAAAGAAATTAGTGTTTAGTTGACAACTTTTTAAAACACACCTCTGGATTTAATTACTCCTTGAATTAAAAATCTCATTCCATCATTAAAAATCGTATCATTCTAATTTAGTTAGTAAAAAGAAAATAAAAAATGTAGTTGTCTGGGTGGTGTTGTTGGTTATCACGCAAATCTAACACATTAGTGGTCCCTAGTGCAAACCTCGGCTCAAACATGTTATTTTGCTTTCCACCTGTGTTTTTACCAGGGGATGTTTTGAAATTATATTGGTAAGTATTTTCCTTTCTTAATTATACTTTGATAGATTTTAGTGTATGTTTCGAACATCAGTTTACACATTAGAAATGAGAATAAAAATCATAGTTAGTGCTTGGTTGACAACTTTATAAAACACAAGTATGGATTTGATTACCCCTACAATTAAAAATCAAATTCCCTAATTATAAACGGTAATATTTCAATTAGATTTCTAATAAGAAAGTAGAAAATGTAGCTTGTCTGTGTGGTGTAGTTGGTTATCACACTAGTCTCATAGACTGGAGGTTCCCAATTCAAACCAGGTCTCAAACATGTAAATTTGCTTCTAAGCTCTTCGTTTTTTTACAAGGAAATTAGTGTTTAGTTGACAACTTTTTAAAACACACCTCTAGATTTAATTACTTCTCGAATTAAAAATCTCATTCCATAATTAAAAATCGTATCATTCTAATTTAGTTAGTAAAAAGAAAATAAAAAATGTAGTTGTCTGGGTGGTGTGGTTGGTTATCACGCAAATCTAACACATTAGTGGTCCCTAGTGCAAACCTGGGCTCAAACATGTTATTTTGCTTTCCACCTGTGTTTTTACCAGGAGATGTTTTGAAATTATATTGGTAAGTATTTTCCTTTCTTAATTATACTTTGATAGATTTTAGTGTATGTTTCGTACATGACTTTACACATTAGAAATGAGAATAAAAATCATAGTTAGTGCTTGGTTGACAACTTTATAAAACACAAGTATGGATTTGATTACCCCTACAATTAAAAATCATATTTCCTAATTATAAACGGTAACATTTCGATTAGATTTCTAATAAGAAAGTAGAAAATGTAGCTTGTCTGTGTGGTGTAGTTGGTTATCACACTAGTCTCATAGACTGGTGGTCCCTAATTCAAACCTGGGCTCAGACATGTAAATTTGCTTCTAAGCTTTTCGTTTTTTTACAAAGAAATTAGTGTTTAGTTGACAACTTCTTAAAACACACCTCTGGATTTAATTACTTCTCGAATTAAAAATCTCATTCCATCATTAAAAATCGTATCACTCTAAATTTGTTATTAAAAAGAAAATAAAAAATGTAGTTGTCTGGGTGGTGTTGTTGGTTATCACGCAAATCTAACACATTAGTGGTCCCTAGTGCAAACCTGGGCTCAAACATGTTATTTTTCTTTCCACCTGTGTTTTTACCAGGAGATGTTTTGAAATTATATTGGTAAGTATTTTCCTTTCTTAATTATACTTTGATAGATTTTAGTGTATGTTTCGTACATGAGTTTACACATTAGAAACGAGAATAATAATCATAGTTAGTGTTTGGTTGACAACTTTATAAAACACAAGTATGGATTTGATTACCCCTATTATTAAAAATCACATTCCCTATTTATAAACGGTAACATTCCGATTAGATTAGTAATAAGAAAGTATAAAGCGTAACTTGTCTGGGTGGTGTAGTTGGTTATCATGCTAGTCTCACACACTAGAGGTCCCCAGTTCAAACCTGGGTTCAGACATGTTAATTTACTTCTAAGCTCTTCGTTTTTTTACAAGGATATTAGTGTTTGGTTGACAACTTTTTAAAACACACCTCTGGATTTAATTACTTCTCGAATTAAAAACCGTATCATTCTAATCTAGTTAGTAAAAAGAAAATAAAAAATGTAGTTGTGTGGGTGGTGTTGTTGGTTATCACGCAAATCTAACACATTTGTGGTCCCTAGTGCAAACCTGGGCTCAAACATGTTATTTTGCTTTCCACCTGTGCTTTTACCAGGAGATGTTTTAAAATTATATTGGTAAGTATTTTCCTTTTTTAATTATACTTTGATAGATTTTAGTGTATGCTTCGTACATGAGTTTACACATTAGAAATGAAAATAAAAATCATAGTTAGTGCTTGGTTGACAACTTTATAAAACACAAGTATGGATTTGATTACCCCTACAATTAAAAATCAAATTCCCTAATAATAAACGGTAACATTTCAATTAGATTTCTAATAAGAAAGTAGAAAATGTAGCTTGTCTGGGTGGTGTTGTTGGTATCACACTAGTCTCATAGACTGGAGGTCCCCAATTCAAACCTGGGCTCAGACATGTAAATTTGGTTCTAAGCTCTTTTTTTTTTTTTTACTAGAAAATTAGTGTTTGGTTGACGACTTATTAAAACATAACTATGGATTTAATTACTTCTCGAATTAAAAATCTCATTCCATCATTAAAAATTGTATCATTCTAATTTAGTTAGTAAAAAGAAAATAAAAAATGTAGTTGTCTAGGTGGTGTTGTTGGTTGTCACGCAAATCTAACACATTAGTGGTCCCTAGTGCAAACCTGGGTTCAAACATGTTATTTTGCTTTCCACCTGTGTTTTTACCAGGAGATGTTTTGAAATTATATTGGTAAGTATTTTCCTTTCTTAATTATACTTTGATAGATTTTAGTGTATGTTTCATACATGAGTTTACACATTAGAAATGAGAATAAAAATCATAGTTAGTGTTTGGTTGACAACTTTATAAAACACAAGTATGGATTTGATTAACCCTATTATTAAAAATCACATTCCCTATTTATAAACGGTAACATTCCGATTAGATTAGTAATAAGAAAGTAGAAAGTGTAACTTGTCTAAGTGGTGTAGTTGGTTATCACGCTAGTCTCACACACTTGAGGTCCCCAATTTAAACTTGGGCTCAGACATGTTAATTTACTTTTAAGCTCTTTGTTTTTTTACAAGGAAATTAGTGTTTGGTTGACAACTTTTTAAAACACACCTCTGGCTTTAATTACTTCTCGAATTAAAAATCGTATCATTCTAATTTAGTTAGTAAAAAGAAAATAAACAATGTAGTTGTCTGGGTGGTGTTGTTG